GTAAGAATTGGTAAGAGTGATAAGAGTGTACGATTTAGCAAGAGTGACAAGAGTGTAAAACTTGGCAAGTGTGACAAGAGTGTAAAAATTGGCAGGAGTGTTAAGAGTGTAAGATTTAGCGAGAGTGACAAGAGTGTAAAAATTTGCAAGTGTGACAACAGTGTAAAAATTGGCAAGAGTGATAAGAGTGTAAGATTTAGCAAGAGTGACGAAAGTGTAAGAATTGGCAAGAGTAATAAGAATGTAAAAATTGGTAAGAGTGACAAGAGTGTAATAATTGGCCAGAGTGACAAGAGTGTAAGAATTGGTAAGAGTGATAAGGGTGTATGATTTAGCCAGAGTGACAAGAGTGTAAAAATGGCAAGTGTGACAAGAGTGTAAAAATTGGCAAGTGTGACAAGAATATAAAAATTAGCAAGAGTCATAAGAGTGTAACAATTAGTAAAAGTGGCAGAAGTGTAATATTTAGTGAGAGTGACAAGAGTGTAATAATTGGCCAGAGTGACAAGAGTGTAAGAATTGGTAAGAGTGATAAGAGTGTACGATTTAGCAAGAGTGACAAGAGTGTAAAACTTGGCAAGTGTGACAAGAGTGTAAAAATTGGCAGGAGTGTTAAGAGTGTAAGATTTAGCGAGAGTGACAAGAGTGTAAAAATTTGCAAGTGTGACAACAGTGTAAAATTGGCAAGAGTGATAAGAGTGTAAGATTTAGCAAGAGTGACGAAAGTGTAAGAATTGGCAAGAGTAATAAGAATGTAAAAATTGGTAAGAGTGACAAGAGTGTAATAATTGGCCAGAGTGACAAGAGTGTAAGAATTGGTAAGAGTGATAAGGGTGTATGATTTAGCCAGAGTGACAAGAGTGTAAAAATGGCAAGTGTGACAAGAGTGTAAAAATTGGCAAGAGTGATAAGAGTGTAAAAATGGGCAAGAGTAATAAGAGTGTAAGATTTAGCAAGAGTGACAAGAGTGTAAAAATTGGCCAGAGTAATAAGAGTGTAAAAATTGGCAAGAGTGACAAGAATATAAAAATTGGCAAGAGTAATAAGAGTGTAAGAATTAGTAGAAGTCGCAGAAGTGTAATATTTAGTGAGAGTGACAAGAGTGTAAAAATTGGCAAGAGTAATAAGAGTGTCATATTTAGCAAGAGTGACAAGAGTGTAAAAATTGGCGAGAGTGATAAGAGTGTAAGATTTAGTGAGAGTGACAAGAGTGTAAAAATTTGCAAGAGTGATAAGAGTGTAAGATTTAGTGAGAGTGACAAGAGTTTAAAAATTTGCAAGAGTGATAAGAGTGTAAGATTTAACAAGAGTGACAAAAGTGTAAAAATTGGCAAGAGTAATAAGAGTGTAAAATTGGCAAGAGTGATAAGAGTGTAAGATTTAGCAAGAGTGACAAGAGTGTAAAAATTGGCGAGAGTGATAAGAGTGTAAGATTTAGTGAGAGTGACAAGAGTGTAAAATTTGAAAGAGTGATAAGAGTGTAAGATTTAACAAGGGTGACAAAAGTGTAAAAATTGGCAAGAGTAATAAGAGTGTAAAAATTGGCAAGAGTGACAAGAATATAAAAATTGGCAAGAGTGTTAAGAGTGTAAGATTTAGCGAGAGTGACAGAAGTGTAAGAATTTGCAAGTGTGACAAGAGTGTAAAAATTGGCAAGAGTGACAAGAATATAAAATTTGGTAAGAGTAATGAGAGTGTAAGAATTAGTAAAAGTGGCAGAAGTGTAATATTTAGTAAGAGTGACAAGAGTGTAAAAATTGGTAAGAGTAATAAGAGTGTAAAAATTGGCAAGAGTGATAAGAGTGTGAAAATTGGCATGAGTAATAAGAGTGTAAGATTTAGCAAGAGTGACAAGAGTGTAAAAATTGGCAAGAGTAATAAGAGTGTAAAAATTGGCAAGAGTGACAAGAATATAAAAATTAGCAAGAGTCATAAGAGTGTAACAATTAGTAAAAGTGGCCCAAGTGTAATATTTAGTGAGAGTGACAAGAATATAAAATTGGTAAGAGTAATAAGAGTGTAAGAATTAGTAAAAGTGGCAGTAGTGTAATATTTATTGAGAGTGACAAGAGTGTAAAAATTGGTAAGAGTAATAAGAGTGTAAAAATTGGCAAGAGTGACAAGAATATAAAAATTGGCAAGAGTAATAAGAGTGTAAAAATTAGCAAAAGTGACAGAAGTGTAATATTTAGTAAGAGTGACAAGAGTGTAAAAATTGGCAAGAGTAATAAGAGTGTAAGATTTAGCAGAGTGACAAGAGTGTAAAAATTAGCACGAGTAATAAGAATGTAAAAATTGGCAAGAACGACAAGAGTGTAATAGTTGGCCAGAGTGACAAGAGTGTAAGAATTGGTAAGAGTGATAAGAGTGTAAGATTTAGCCAGAGTGACAGAGTGTAAGAATTGGCAAGAGTGGCAAGAGTGTAAAAATTGGCAGAAGTAATAAGAGTGTAAGATTCAACAAGAGTGACAAGAGTGTAAAAATTGGCGAGAGTAATAAGAGTGTAAGATTTAGCAAGAGTGACAAGAGTGTAAAAATTGGCAAGAGTAATAAGAATGTAAAAATTGGCAAGAGTGACAAGAGTGTAATAATTGGCCAGAGTGACAAGAGTATAAGAATTGGTAAGAGTGATAAGAGTGTAAGATTTAGCGAGAGTGACAAGAGTGTAAAAATGGCAAGTGTGACAAGAGTGTAAAAATTGGCAAGAGTGACAAGAGTGTAAAAATTGGCAAGTGTAACCAGAGTGTAAAAATTGGCAAGAGTGATAAGAGTGTAAGATTTAGCGAGAGTGACAAGAGTGTAAAAATTTGCAAGTGTGACAAGAGTGTAAAAATTGGCAAGAGTAATAAGAGTGTCAGATTTAGCAGGAGTGACAAGAGTGTAAAAATTGGCAAGAGTAATAAGAATGTAAAAATTGGTAAGAGTGACAAGAGTGTAATAATTGGCCAGAGTGACAAGAGGGTAAGAATTGGTAAGAGTGATGAGAGTGTAAAAATTGGCAAGAGTAATAAGAGTGTAAGATTCAACAAGAGTGACAAGAGTGTAAAATTGGCAAGAGTAATAAGAGTGTAAGATTTAGCAAGAGTGACAAGAGTGTAAAAATTGGCAAGTGTAACCAGAGTGTAAAAATTGGTAAGAGTGATAAGAGTGTAAGATTTAGCGAGAGTGACAAGAGTGTGAAAATTTGCAAGTGTGACAAGAGTGTAAAAATTGGCAAGAGTAATAAGAGTGTCAGATTTAGCATGAGTGACAAGAGTGTAAAAATTGGCAAGAGTAATAAGAATGTAAAAATTGGTAAGAGTGACAAGAGTGTAATAATTGGCCAGAGTGACAAGAGTGTAAGAATTGGTAAGAGTGATAAGAGTGTATGATTTAGCCAGAGTGACCAGAGTGTAAGAATTGGCAAGAGTGGCAAGAGTGTAAAAATTGGCAAGAGTAATAAGAGTTTAAGATTCAACAAGAGTGACAAGAGTGTAAAAATTGGCAAGAGTAATAAGAGTGTAAGATTTAGCAAGAGTGACAAGAGTGTAAAAATTGGCAAGAGTAATAAGAATGTAAAAATTGGCAAGAGTGACAAGAGTGTAAAAATTGGCAAGTGTAACCAGAGTGTAAAAATTGGTAAGAGTGATAAGAGTGTAAGATTTAGCGAGAGTGACAAGAGTGTAAAAATTGGCAAGTGTAACCAGAGTGTAAAAATGGTAAGAGTG